AGAATATTCCTTGGCCAGTTATTTTTTTTTAAATAATTTAACATCTTTATTGAGATATGAGATATAATTATCATATCATAAAATGGGCCCACTCAGTGTATTTTCAGTACAACTGTCACCACAATCTAAGCTTAAAATATTTTCATACTCCAAAAAGAAACATTACATCCATTAGCAGTCAGTCCTCATTCATCACTTTGCCCTGCCTCATAGCTCCAGTCTCTGGCAACTATTAATCTCCTATCTCTATAGATTTTCCTATTCTGGACATTTCACATAAATGGAATCATGTATTTTAAATGGTCTTCTGTAACAGGCTTCTTTCACTTTGTATAAAGTTTTCAAGGTTTATCTATGTTCTAGCATGTGTCATTACTTCATTCCTTTTATGGCTGAATAATATTGCATTGTGTGTTACAGATCACATTTGTAGACCTAGCTAACAGTTGATGGGCTTTTTGGCTGTATGAATAATGACACTAAGAATATTCGTGTTCAGGCGTTTCTGGGGACATATGTTTCATTTATCTTGGATATGCTGAAAAGGGAAGATATCAACTTCAATTTTAGAGGCAGGGGACACAAATGTCAGTATCTATAAGTTTTTTTATGTGGGTTGGCTAAGTTTCTCAACATTGCAATGCAATAAGTGGCTGCTGATTTCTGAGAGCTAGTTGGGAGCTGCATCTTTCCAGATTTTTTTTTTTTAAGTTTTATTTATTTATGCATACAAGAACTGGGATATAGGCCAGAGGTGTGGGGGTTGAGAGGATTCACCAGCGAAAGAGTGGGGAACAGAACAGAGAGATTTACTGAAATACACTGCTGAGGTGAGCAGCGGGCGAGACAGGAGAGGTCTACTTTGCCATGTGTGCCACCTCCCTGGATGGGGATCGAACTTATGCAGCAGTGGCTGAAAATAGCTTAATAGTGCTGTGACTTTACCCCTTGTGCAACCAGGGAAGCCCCTTTCCAGATTTCTGATGGTGGGTGAGTGAATCAACCTCCTCCTTATGTTAAAGACTGCAGCTGTCTTACACACAGTTAATTAACTTGTAGCTGAGCTTAAATTGAACTGTAGTATTCAACATCATAAATCATAAGGTGATATTAAGTCATGGTTATAGGACACAAGCAAATTTTCACACACGTACACATGTACTAAATTCATGGCCATCCCATCCCCCTTCCTTAATAACAGACTCTTGTATTATTGGGGGCAACGATGTACTCAGGTATAAAATTCCCAGCATCTCATGTAAATAAAGGTAGAGATGAGAAGAAGCAGAAATCACTAGTTGGTGTTTCAGGGAAGTCACCTGGAAAGGGAGATAATTTAGTTGGAACATAGGTGCTCTTTTATGGCTCAAAAACAAGGATGCTAAGGCTCAAGTTCCAGTAGCTAACTTTGCGAGCGTGTGATTCACTTATTTATTTATTTATTTATTTATTTATTTATTGCTTGCAACATGAATGGAACTAGAAGGAATTATGCTCAGTGAAATAAGTCAGAAGGAAAAAGAAAAATGTTGGATGTTCCACTTATAGGAGGAATAGGGGGGAACCAAATAAGACATCAGGGGAAAAAATAATAATACAAAACACAACAAAACAAAACAAAAACAGACAATTATAATCCAGTAGCTATCTTGTGCTATTAAAGAAATCCTTGAAGATCCCAAGAATGGCAAAGGAAAAAACTAACAAAGAGCCCTCACTGCTTAGCCTACACGGCCCAGCTTCAGACTTCTCTTATGTGAGAAAAAAAGTCATCTGACCTTGTTTAAGATAATTTTGAATATCTGTTAATGAGCAGCTGTTCTGAGTCCTAAGTGATAGACTTCTTTTAGAATTCCCTTCTATAGGCAATTGCATTTAATCTTCCTCTTATTTTAAGTAATCTAACTTGGTTTTCTCCTAGTTTCTCGAAAGACAGAGATCATATATTTGTTTCTTACATTGAGTAATTTTTAAGACAGAAAAATAAGAAAGGTTTTTATTTATCAACTTAAAAACTGGAATTCTACATTTTCATTATTTTCTTTACCTATCACGAACTATTAAATATTTCTGTTCAAGTTTCATGATTTTGTACCTTTTTGTTTTGATCATTATTTCCACTTGGAGAAAAGCTCTCCCCTGTGTCTTCAGTTCAAATTATACTGTTTCTGAAAGGTTCAACTCACAGGTCACTGCATCTAAGGCCTTTCTCTGATCCATCCAACAATAAGTAATCTCACCTAGCCTGGGCTTGTCTTTTTTTACTGGGTCTTAGAGGCCAGGGACTGTGTTTTAGTTCTATATTCCCATATAGGACATGGTTTTCTAACCTGTAAATTACTCACACATTATACGTTACTACATATCAAAAAATTTGCATTTTAGAAATACTGTTAGGCAAAATTTTCACTTCTTATGCCTATGTCCCACAATTTCAAAAAAAGAAATTATGAGTTTAAAGATCATTATACATTGCCCCTAAAGCAATAATGGTACCTAATTCCATAGCAGAGTTTATGACTTACAGATCATTGGTTAGACAAACCTGAAGCTGTCAGTCTTTTTAATCAACCAAGTCTGCATATTAAAATATTTGTGGTATTTCTGCACAGAAAAGCTTACTGACCCTATGTAGTAAACCCTCTTAAGATAAAACTAATTCATTTAAGTCAATTTCTCTGCTATCTAAGTAGTAACTCAGGCCTCATGAGGATAATTTTATCTTTTTAAAATGTTATGGGTGCAAATGAGGTTATCAAAATCCTCCAAGAACTCAAAATATCATCAACACACATACATAAAATCAGGATCACTAATTTATTTTCCTCTGGATAGAATATTTCCTCCTCTTGAAGAAGGAAGAGATAAAGTGATTTGCACAGTATCCTAATGAGCATTTAATGAGAAACAGATCCCTGGCTTCTTGAGTTCAATGTTCTGGTCAAATTCTGCCAGGTAAGCAACAAAGAAAGTCTGAGGCATTGAGCCACATGAAAATCTAAAACTTCTATATCATTTAGACATGATTTTAAAACACAAGAAACAGAGTGGGAGAAAATTTAGCAACAAGCATAATAGTGGCTGATTATCCTGGGTAAAAACAAAACAATATGCTGAATCATAAGAAAAAAGACAAATTGTTCAAAATGAGGTGGCAAGAGTAACTACCTTGTAGGGGTGTGGTGATGGTTAAGTGAGTTAGTTGATGTAAACTGCCTAAAACAGTATCTGGCACATAGTAAATACTACATATGTGTTTACTCATCCATCAAATGACAGTATCAAATATGTAAGGCACAAGTGAATTCAAATTCAAACTCTACTACTTACTAAGCTTTATGACCTTGGCCACTTTTTCAGTCTCTTTTGTCTTACCTCCTCTTCTGTGAAATGGGGATAATAATAGTGTCTAGAGTTATTGTGTTACATGAGGCCACATTAAAAATCTTAACACATAGTAAACAACAAGTATTGGTGATGTCAAGATACAACAGGTATCATTTTCAAAGTTCTGAACATTATGGAGACGTGAAGTATTAAAATTATGTCCTAAAAATGGGCAAAGTCCTATCCTAAACAGATACTTCTTCAAAGAAGATAGATGTTCCACAAGCACATGAAAAAATGTTCAATATCACTATTATAAGGGAAACAGAAATCAAGACCACAGTGAGCTAACAGCTCACACCTGTTAGAACGACCTATTCAAAAAAACTGGAATCAGAAAGTACTAGCCAAGGGTGTGGAAAAAAAGGGACACTCATATAGTTGCTGGAATATAAGGTTGTGCAGCCTCTATAGAAAACAGTATGAACCAGTTTGCACTCTGGTCCAACCACTATGGAGAGCTGTGTGGAGATTTCTGGACCTACTAAACATAGAACTTCCATATGATCCAGCAATTCCACTCCTAGGTATTTACCCAAAGGACACAGAAACATCAATTCCAAAGAGCACCTGCACCCCTATGTTTATAGCAGCACTGTTTACAATAGCTAAGCTTTGGAAACAACCCAAATGCCCAAAAATAGATGACTGGATCAAGAAGATGTGGTACATATATACCATGGAATATTACTCAGCATTCAAAAAAGATAAACACATGCAATTTGCAGCAACATGGATGGCGCCGGAAGGGATCATGCTCAGCGAAATAAGCCAGAAAGAAAAAGAAAAATACCGGATGGTCTCACTCATAGCAGGAATCTAGAAAACTTAAATAAGGGACCAGGAAAATGAATAACTATAAGAAAGTGAAAATCAAAATCAACAAAAATCTATGAACCAAAATTTATTATTTTTTAAATCAATCAATCAATCAATAAATAAAAAGAAAACAGTATGAAATTCTGAAAAATGAAAATTGGAAATACTATATGATCCAGCAATTCCACTGTTAAGTATTTATCCAAAGACTATAAAAACACTAATACAGAAAGATTTTTGCACCCCTATCTTTACAGAAGCATTATTCAGGATAGCTTAGATATGGAATCAACCTAAATGCCCACTGACAGATGATTGGAGGCCATACTTGCACTGGAGCTTGGTAGAGAAGATGGGGGAGAGTGCAACTGTAGCACATGAATTTGTTGAACTCACAAATTGTAGAGTTATGTAGATGAATGACAAATCATTAAAATTTGGGGAAAAGACATAGTCAGTGATTTTATCTTATAGTGTTATAAAGATTAAAGAAGATAGTGTATATAAGGCATCTAATATAATGCTCAAAAATATTAATTATCATCATCATCACTTACAGTCATTCCATAAAAGAAAGATACACCTCTATCCATGAGAACTGGATTCTACAGACATAGCACAATTGATTCTTAAAGTAGTTTTTAATCAACAAACACCTCATTATTTTAAGATTGAAAATGGCTGGATATTTGAGATAACATTTTGTATTTGATTTTTCTGTCATTGCTACAAAGTTAGAAAAGATGAAAATGCCTTATCAGAACCTATTGTAAAGCTGCTTTCTCTGTTTTAAGCCAGTTCACTTCCTACCTGTCCTCTGTATTGCGAAGGGAAGGAAGCCGGAAGCTTGTGTTCCTGTCCAGCTTTGATTGGCTTTTGGTCCTCTTGATGGAGCCTTTCAGACGCTTGCTGAAGAATCCCTGTAATGGAAAGCAAAAGGTGATGGGAGAGAAAAAAATAAAAGAACGCTGCTATCTTCCTACCTCTCTGTAAAACCTTTGCTAAAGACATTTAGATTTTTATAATGAAGACTTGAAACAGAATCTAGCTTTTAATTTTTAAATTCCTAAGTAAAGCTTGAAATCACATGACAAAGTGATGAATTCTTTTTCTTTAGATAACAAGGATAATTAAGCTTTTGATTTTATTTGAAGTACTTAATTTCTCACTTCTTAAGTTGTTTCTAGAGAAACCCTTAACTTTAATAATATGTGTATGTTTAAACACACCAATGTAACACAGAAAATACACTCTTTTCCATGAAGATGGTGTCAGCAATTTCAATAGCAGTGGCAATCAATGATTTCCTGAACTAAAAAAGTGCAAACAGTGTCATGTCAAAAAAACATGACAAAGAATAGCATGTAAGAAGGTATTTGGTGCATTGAAAGCATTTTAAAGATGTTGACAGTTGGGAGATAAGAAGTGTGATCCTAAGATCTGGGGGAAAAAAGAAATCAGTACAAGGCAATGTGTTGGTCTTACAAACATTAACATTTTGTCTGTATCACCTTGCATATTTGTAAAGTTAAGTTTTGAATGTAGTGAACTATTTTAACATGAAATAGATATTATTTATAAAATCGACGAAGCACCTAGAATTCAGATTAAGGTGCTTTACAGTTCTGGTCCCTGCTTGCTTCCTGCCACTTCCCTTATATTATCTAAAGCTCCTTGAACATCTTCCTAGTCTCAACAATTTGCTAATAATGAGCTTTCAGTAATAGTTTGTTGAATAAAAGAATAAATGCAAGAAGCAATGACAGTGGTCACTGTTTTCAAGAAACAACTCTATTGTCAGATGAAGGATATCTGATAGCAAAATGTCTTCAGAAAGGGTTGTAATTCAAAGAAGGTACTTTGGACATATGGAAAATTACTTTTTCTAATTATCTGAGATAAATATTAGTTTATAAAAACTATATAATAAATATTTCCATAGGGAAGAAAAAGAAATACTGGGTTAATATCAGCACATCAAAGTGTTTAGATTTATTTAGTTATGACTAAAGCCCACTGTTTCAGGGTAAGAGACTACATTAGTCAGCTATATTATGCTTATCTCATAACCCCACAATCTTAGTGTCATTAAACATGACTATGAGAAGGTCAACTATGAGGAATGGCAGTCTGAACCAAAGCTATCCTTCCTCAGGGAATCAGGCTAAGGGGGGCAGCGGCTTCAGCAGAATAAAGGACAAAGGAAATGTGATGAACCATGTCCTAGTTCTTATAGATTCCTGTCATTTCTGGTCTCAATTCATTGGACAAAGAAAGCCACAAGACCAACGCTAACTTCAATGGGGGAAAGCACATACAATCAGTGCTAGCATCTACAGAGGAAGCAAACTGGAAATATTTGGTGAACTTCAGTGTGGACTACCACAGTGCTGTTTCAGGTCATTGTTTTGTAAACACACAGACACTGATCCTTTCTTTAGAGAAAAACAGAAACAAACTTATTTGAATCAGAAGTACAACCATTAGCTGACTGAGAAAAACACTTAATAGATATTTTATTGTTCTTGCAGTCCAAAGAATAGGAGTAGAAACTTCTAGAAAACATCACACAAACATAATTCCCTAGGTTGTTTTATTCCCTTGGCTGTTTTTTTTTTAATTATTATTATAGTTATAAGAAATTGTCTGAGGTAAGACAACAAGGTTATTTTAAATAGTACTATATTTCTCAGAGACAGTCATATGCCTAGTCTCCTGTGCAATTTTAGCATCATTAGAGAAAATCTCAGTCATGTATCTTTCAAGGAAAACACTGTACTTACTACTTTCTATGGTTCAATCAAGATGGGTCACCAAATTTGCTCATAAATATAGTCAGCAAACCAGACCTAAGTTTACAGAATTCTATTAGGATCATTTATAGTTGGCTCAGAAACCACTGGCTTAGGTTGGTGAGTCCAATGACCCAACCAAACACCATATACAAATGTTTCTAACAAAAATACAATTAAGGGCTCCCTAGTGGTGCAGGGGTTAAGACGCAATCTATGAAGCTATCCGCAGCCACTGCAACATGAGTTTGATTCCCAGCCAGCCAGGGAGCAACCCACATGGTGTAGCAGACCTCTCCTGACTCGTCTGCTGCTCCCCTCAGCAGTGTACTTCGGTCAATCTGCCTGTTCTGTTCCCCACTCTGTCTCTGGTGAATCCTCTCACTGCCCCCCTCCACACCTCTGGCCTGTACCCCAGCTCTTGTATGCATAAATAAATAAATCTTTAAAATAAAATACAATTAAGCAGTAAACCACGAATGTCCTAGTAGCTGTTTATTCATATAGTACTTTACTATTTGTGGCACTGATTATATCATACTATGTATTGCAATATATTAATTTATTTTGTGTCTGTTAGTCATAAAACACTGCCAGGCATTATAAGGGAATCAAAGTTTTGCCCTTAAAGAGCAGGATTCAGACACACACACACACACAACCACACACATGCTCTCACACATGACACAATTAGGAAGGTAAATGCTCTAAATGCTTGCTATATTTAATCATAAAATAAAATTTATTCTTTGAATCTAGGACATCCTTGTAAATCACACCATTATTTTATGTACACTAAGAAAAAAAGCTGCCAATTATAACACAATGAATTAGAATTGTAAATTACAAATTCACTTAGAATTTTCATTTTGTATTAAAGAAGTTTTGTAAAAACTTATTTGGGAAGGTTTTGTCATATACACATAATGTATACATAAACAGAATATAAGCAAGATGAATTCGTTAAGGTATTCCTAGTGCTTCTTCACTCTTCTGAATTATTGATATTTTCTGACTCAGAGTAGTTGTTATGTTTGCCTATACAATAGCACCTTGTATTCTTTCAAGAATGTTGATGACACAGCACATCTTAAGGGTAATCTATAGAGATGTTAAAATGTGCATCTTAGAATTGATGAAATATGGTACTATTTTGGTGAGGTATAAAAAATGATTTTTAGGAGTTCAGAGAAAGTGTGTTACATCATCCAGAGAAATAAGGGGTATTACATGGAAGAAGTGGAATATGCTAAGTACCCAATGGGTAGACAGGACTTGGCAATGAGGAACAAGTGTATTTTATAGAGTATCACATGGGAAATGGCATGTAACTAAGAATACACAGGGTATACACTAAGTAGAGTCAGTCTGGCTGATAATCAAATAGGAGTACTGAAAAATAAGACTGAAAAGATGACTTGATATTTAATAGCTATTGATACGTAATTATTGCCCCCATTGTCCAACTTTTGAGAGAAGGTATAATGCTCTATTTAACTTAAATCTGCCACAGGATCTAAAGTTTAGTAAGTGTTCAATAAATATCTAATAAATGGATATAAAAAATTATGGCTGTTGTAGGAATACAGGTAAGGAAAAGTTTAAGGTTGTCCAGTGTGGTCGGTGATATTTCACAGAAGAAGTAGAATCTACCAATCTACCATGAAATTCTCCCTGATGTGAATGAAACATGGTTTTCACTTGAGAATATTATTTAACTTAGAGTCCAATTTGATAGAAGCTTTTCCTTTCCTCTACCCAATATTCAATGGTACTCAGGAAGAAGTGCTAGGATTTTTCTACTTACCATAAGTGCTTCTAGGTCATTATTTCTTAAAAATAACAGCTTATATTCTTAACTCCTAACATCATGCTAGGAAATAACCAGATAGTGACTCTACAAATATCCTAGCTTCATAGTTCCTGACTCCAATAACTTTTATTCTCTTTAGAGACCCACTCCTAGAACCTAGACCCACACCCTAGATCTTATCTTTCAGAAAGCCTCCACTTCAAACAAACTAAATGATAATATACTTTTCAACCCCTTATCTGTATTTCCTTCTCCTAATATTCTCCAACTTCTTAGAAATTTTAGTCTCTTGACCATACCATTTTCTCCCTGTTCCCATTTTCTTCATTCAGCCTCAACTCCATGGCTTATTATCTGAGGCTATTCAATTACCAACAACCTCGATTATCTTAAATGGCTAGTTATCCAAAATCAAGAGTGGATCAATCTGTAAGTTCTGGTAGCATGACTGGACTGTTGAGGAACACTACATAGCTAAATAGATATTGCTAAAAACCCGAGTGGTGGCTTGGCTTCTCTGTTCCTTCATACTAGACCAACCCTGTACTAGGCCTTCCAGTAATATTACTTACACTGGGAAACCTCAGAGTGTGTGACAGTCCACTTGACACTGCACCCTTCTGAGAAGTTCCTTATGTACAGGTCATTATGCTTTGTATGATGCAATTCTGCCCTGGCTGCAGCTGGTATGGTTTCATGTGGCAACTTACCAGTCCAGCCTGATTTCTGGCCATTCCCTGCTTCATGCTTTATACTCCAGCAACTCTAAAAGCCTACAATTCTCTACAGTCACCATGAATCTTTGTTATTGCTCATATTACCTGGCAAAACCATCCTTTCAGACTCAACTCAGGCATGACCTCTTCTAGGGTATCTTTTTTTTTTTTTATTAAAGATTTATTTATACAAGTACTGGGTACAGTCAGAAGTGCGGGAGGGTGAGAGAATTCACCAGAGCCGGAGCAGGGAGCAGAGCAGGCAGAAGGACCGAAGTACACTGCTGAGGGGAGCAGCGGGCGGCAGGAGAGGTCTGCGCACCATGTGGGACCCTCCTCCGATGGCCGGCTGAGGCCAGGGAGCAGCGGTGGCTGGGGAGCAGCCGTGGCCGGGGAGCAGCCGGGGATGGAACCATAGCCGCGGAGGCTTCAGGCAGCTTCGCAACCTAGCTCTCAACCGCTGCGCCACCGGTGCGCCACCGGGGAGGTCCTTCTAGGGTATCTTTTTTTTTTTTTTAAAGGAGAACTGTTGGGTTTTTTTTTTTGTTTGTTTGTTTTGTTTTTTTTTTAATTTATTTATATATTTATACAAGCACTGGGTACAGTCAGAAGCGTGGGAGGGCGAGAGAATTCACCAGAGCCAGAGCGGGGAGCAGAGCAGGCAGAAGGACCGAAGCACACTGCTGAGGGGAGCAGCGGGCGGCAGGAGAGGTCTGCGCGC